GGCGATGTTTCATTGATTGCTTAAGATGGCGTACTGAAGAGTGCATACAAAGGTCTAAACAATTTTTCTGCTCAGTGATCTTCCTAATGGGAACGGCGGCACAGGCTAAGTGTCAAAGCCAAGGGCCAGGGCTCTATGATTAAGATTGTTGGTGGTAATAATGGTGGCGGCTCCTTAACTGAAAGTGCAATTATGCAAACTATTCAAAATGGAGTCGTTCAGAAGAGCTCCTCTGTACTGTAATAGGACTATACTAGAACAATAATTCAGGAAGGTGCTTTATAAAGGGAAAGGGACGGTATAGCATGCCACTGTGTATAGGATGAATTATCAGCTGACCCTGCTGTGCTTCATTGCTTACTAGTAATGTAACAACACTTTACTTCAGTATATCCACACTCTGCATCACGGGTGATATGCTAGGCTCTTTCAGATTTCAGTAGATATCTCCTCATATCAATCATATGAACCTACTCTGTTCTTTAGACCTCTCTTCATATGGAATGTTATTGACTTTCTGTGTAATCCACTTAGAGTCGCAGTGAGAAAGGCGGACTATAAATACGTAAATAATTCAATACAGTAAATAATTAAAATAAGATGCCAAACTGAATTTCCACAACTTCATCCCAAATCATTTTGTTCTTCTATTTGTCTATTTTCTAACACTGTAATCACCAAATTAAGTAAGAACACTTTTTCCTATGGGGAAATGGGGTTTCCATCCAAATACCAGGAAATATTTTCCCATACACCGTTAAGAATAATAAATGGGGGAAAATTAAGTTTCCTTCTGGCCAGGGAACATTAAGAGCTTAACAATTCATTTACTGTCTGTACAGAGTTTTTAAGTACTCTGCAGAAGTTTCTCTCCCCATTAATGAAAACAATTGTGGGCACAGCTAACAGAACCTATCCTTCGCTACTCCAGTGAAGTGAACGACCCAATATGTTTCAAGGATGAGGCCTGTAAGCAGCAGAAGAGCAAATGCTGCTCTTGCAGTTCTGCACCAAGGATCACGGCATCTCGTTCAATATACAGTGGAGCTAAACTGCATGCACAGTTTATGCATATACATGTGGGGGGCTCTCTGGACATGGTGTGATTTATCTCAAGCAACCTTTACAGACCTCTTACACAGATACATACAAATTGCCTCACAAGCAAACAGCCCATCTTCAGGGCTTCCTCTCCTTTGCTTTCTGGTCTAAGAACAGAGGAAATGAACATGCACTGGAAAAAGACAGAAGTCTGAGGGTGCCTTATGAAGGGGAAGGGGGAGAGGTACACTATGTACTACGAAAGTAGCGTAAAAGTTTCCATCGACTCACTCCTGTTGATGAGTTTTCCTCACATCACTAGCCAGACTGAATACTGTAGTAGGAAAAAAAAGCCAGAGAGCCACTTGTGAGCGGTTCCAATAATGTATAACACACAGATACTAACTGTGGTTAAATAAACCTCATGTCTATATTAATTTAAGTAGTGAAAGTAATCAACACAACACGTCTGTAAACACACTGCCTAGAAGCACACTACTATATACCTTAGCCAGTTTCCAGGCACAATCCAATATAACTGGTTTTAACTTTTAACCCCACATGCTAAATCCCATATTAACTTAACTGTCACCTACAGTGATATAAGTAAAAAAAAATCGATCTCTAAAAATGCACTGTTTCACAACATTTATTAACAACATAACAAAAGTCAGTAATATTTTATTTTATTTATAACCCACTCTCCCTGAAACCGGCTCAGAGTGGGTGACAACAATTTATAAGATATACAATTTAAAACCTTCCAAAAAACAACATACAATTAATCGAAATCAATAAATACAATAAAATCAATAAAACAGCTACTATCTATCTATCTAGTACTGCTCATACGGCTATCACCTTAAGCAGAAAAAAACAGCTAGTATTTAAGATGGCATAGAATTCATATGGAGGGGCAATATACAGACATCTAAAAGGAGGAGGAGAAGGGGGGAAACAAGGGGAGGATGGGAAGAAGGGGGAGGCCAAAACTAGCTGTAGCTTATCAGCTAGGGGGCCGATACTGCCTTCAACCTTAGGCCAGGCAGAATAACTCTGTTTTACAGGCCCTGAGGAATTGTATCAGATCCCACAGAGCCCTCATCTCTCCAGGGAGAGTGTTCCACCAGGCCGGAGCCAGAGCAGAAAAGGCCTAGGCCCTAGAGTTGAAGACAGTCGGAAGCTCTCTGGGCCGGGGACCACCAGCAGATTTGGATCACTCAAATGTAACGCTGTACGGGGGACATACCAGGAAAGGTGGTCCCAAAGGCATGCTGGTCCCTGACTTCCTTAATCAAATTTCAACAGTTCATATTAGATTTCCCCCCCAGAAAATTCCAATCTGAAATGGCACAGTCATTACAAAGGCCAATGTCGCCTCTGAGAACTAGATCTCAGAGTGACCTGTTGGTGTACCCCTATATGTTAAAAAACACAAATGGCAAACAAATGCAGAAAGATATTCCCAGTGGCCACTACTAGGAACCTGCCTGTCTCTAGACAGGCAGAAGTTAGAACACCCCAACATGACTCTTTGTAAGAAAGGTGAGCTATAAATGAAGTAATAAATATAATAAAGGTGGAATATAAATAAATAATAAAGAGAATAACTCCTCAAGGGCCAGAAAATAAGCATTTCTTTTGTAGTGAAAGGCCATTTTTTCACTAATATTCCACACTATTTAATCAATGGGTATCTAAATATCTATTTGCCTATTAAAATTATCTCTTGCCTTTTCCATAGAACTTAAGACCATGAACCTGTCTAGTACAGCATTAAACTGGTACAGAGCTCCTTAGCTTTAGCAAGGTTAACAGATCTTCAGGCCACATTCTGGGATCTGTTGTACATCACCATGACCACTCCTCATAGAAGAAAAACTAATTATTCATACTTATACATACTCAACACATCTGAAACAATGCAGATGCCATAATGCACACATACCACTCCAAAGCAAAAAGTTGGTGAACATTTAAAACAAAATATTCTACAGCTACAGCATAAAGTATTTCATATTCATTTCTGTGCCATTTTTTAATTACAACTGAACACATTTTAATTTTCCTAATGAGTACATGTAATGTTTTAAATATAGAAAAAATTAAGAAAAATTACAATTAGTCCTAAAAATCACTAACAGCCACTTAAAAATTACTTCCTGTTTCAGTGACAGATCTATTTCAGCAAGTAGGTCTTCAGAGAGGCTGCATATGACTTTCATAGATAAACAAACAATTTAATGCCATGTCAAGAAGAACATTATTCTGACTTCTGTACACTATCACGAAACTCAACCTGCAGCCTGCACTGCCACTTATTTATCGTGCCCTTCCTCCAGGGAGCTCAGACTGGCATACATATTTCTCTCCTCCATTTTATCCTCACAACAACTCTTTGAAGCAGGTGAAGCAGAGAGAGAGAGAATGTAAATGACTCAAAGTCACCCACTGAGCTTCATGACTGAATGCGATCTGAACTCCAGTCTTCATCAGACACTCTAATCACTGCACACTATGCTAGCTCCACATGTGACCAGTCACATTCAACTGGCAACCAAAATCAGCAGAGAACTCAAGAATTCCAGTATCTCATGCCAGATCTCACAGTCCTGACAGGAGCTGAGTGTGTGTAAAACATCTACATATTATAATACAGTGTAAGAACTTCACAGTGCTGAAATAATTTTAAAAACTGGCCAGATAATTGCCCTTTAATCACACTCACTTTCACATTTATTAAAGACTGGTATACTCCATCAACGTACAAATGTAATAAAATCTCCAAATGCAAGCCACCCCTTAAATCCATCATTCTGTTGGTGGACATTCTTTAATATATGTTATTTCAGGCAAGTAAACCAATCTGGATTAAAATGACATGCAACAGTGTGCTTTTATGTGAACAAGGATTCTAATCCATATTTCTCATTGTTACACTGCCAGAACAAAGTCTGAGTCCAGTGGCACTTTTAAGACCAACATAGTTTTAATCAAGGTATAAGCTTTCATGTGCACGCACACTTCTTCAGATACAATGAAATGGAAATTACAAGTCCATACATATAGATAGAGTACCCTGGCAGTTCTGCAAACAACCCCTTGCCTGATCATCTCTGGATAGTAAGTAAGAACTGTGCTCCACTAACCAAAAATGTTTGGAAACTGGGAGATAGCTCTTTTATTCCTTCTAGGTTATCTGCCACAAAAACCAGACAAAATATGGGCAGGGAGGCTGCTAAATATTTTTATGGACTACTTTCCATGGTTTTATCTGAAAGGCCAAAGTGTCTGATAAGAAGGTGGTATTTCTTCCAAATGACTACAGTAAAAGCTCACAATCTTCTGTAGTGCTGGAGCACTAGTAAATCTTAATTACACATGGATTTATTTTTGCTGTCAGCTTGTGGAGCACAGACAAGCGATCTGAATCTGTAACAACAACATTAAGATACAAAGCTACTCCTTGCTCACGTTAATACTTCCCACAGCATTTCAGAAGTGCTCTACAGTTTCTATTCCATCCTTCTCATTATAATTCAGTAATTATACTGAAGCTGAAACCATGACTTCCAAGACTCCACAACTGCGTAAAGGTTAGACCCAATCTCTTTTTCTTGGAGCCCACATTTCCTATTCCTTCAGTGTCTCTCCTGAATGGGGCGGGGCGGGACAGAATAAACGAGTTTTTCCTTCCAGGAGCCCGAGTTTCAAAGGCTCGGCTTCGAGGCGGCCAACCCAAGCCCACAGGAACACGTCCTTCCTCCTAGGCCAGAGAGTGGGAGGGAAGGTTTCAGGGGCTTGTTTGCCTCCTTGCACGCAGCCCTAAGCCTTCCCCCCGGGTGCCCGGGACCGCGGGCAGGAAAAGAAGAATAGCGTGGCCAAGAACAGAGCCTTACTGAAGGGCGGATAAGAGGGAGGAAGAGCAGAAAGGCGCAAATAAGGAAAGTTTCTCTCACCCAGTCTCGGAGCGAGGAGGCCGGCCGCTCCCCCCCTTGCAGCCACCCTCGAGTGCAGCGAGTCCCGGGAGTTCAGCTCCCCCCGGGCTCCACACCTGGCGCAACTGCGAAAGGCGGCTACTTTAGCGGGCTCTTTTCGCCCGGGCCGCTTTCCTGTGCCAGGCCCGCACGAACCTTGGAGTTTCCTGCCTGAGTCACTCAAACAGGGAAACGGTGCCAGAAAACACCCTTCCTCCCTCGGCAGCTCCTCCCCCCGTCCTGTCCCAAAGCCTCGTCCATGCCTCTCGAAAGCAGCCGGGCAGGCACCTCCGGCGGCTCCTCCTTCCAGGCCGGGGACCGCCTTCCAGCTTCACACAGCTTCCCCAAACGCGGCGGGGGGAAGGGAATTGGTGGGAGGAAGGAGCTGGAGGCGAGCGCGGGGAAGGGCTTCCGTCGAAACTTCGGGCCTGATTGAGAGGATGCCGCATCGTAAAGCTCTACTCTAAGTACGCTCGTTTTATGGTTGGTTAGACCGTGTAGGCATTGCCTAGAACTGAGCTCCTCTGAGAAATGCAGGGTGGTTTCTTTTGTTTTTTTACTTACCTACCATGCCTTTCCTCTTGAATACAAGGTTCAGAATTTTTAGCGTGTCTGTTCCAAAGCATTTTCTAGGCTAGGGGTCCCACCTGGAGACCCCCCAGAATTAGAGCGCACTTCCAGACTATAGAAATCAGTTCCCCTGGAGCAAATGGGTGTTTTGGAGGGTGGATCCTATGGCACTGTACCCCACTGAGGTCCCTGGTCTCCTAAAAGGAAGGACAGGATTGCCCATTGGAAACAATGGGAGACGCTGGAAGACCCATTGGAAATAATGGGAGCCAGGAAT